AATTTATATCCCGCCTATCTGGTCGGGTGAGGACCATTCTAGGCGGCTAACAATCATACAAAAATACAATAAAATGAAAATAGACAATTCTAAGTGATAAAAGCACTACATGAGGTTACACGATACACTGAGCAGAAACAGTAAGGGAGGAAGGAAGAGGGTCAGGAGTTAGGTGATGGGAAGGTCTGCCGAAACATCCATGTCTTTAATTGCTTCTTAAAGATACCCAGCGAGGGAGACCCGCGAATCTCAGGAGGTAAATTGTTCCAGAGGCGAGGAAATCTAGGAACACCTTAAGCTCTGCATTTTCATCCCTCCCACATTGCCTCTTTGTTTCTTGGAATTCAACACAAATATTGCATATGGCCTTGATTACTCAGTAACACTGAATAATTCACAGTACGACACTGCAAAATACATACAGCAATGTCTGGCCTGGATGCTTGTCATGGTTCAACAATATGGCTCCTTTTTAGCATAAGTTAAGAGAGCCAAATATAATAATATGCCATTTCACATGCCCTAGAAATTTCCATTCCCAGTCTCACTCCTGATTAGTCCTAAATCATAACATGTGGGATGACTTCCATGATATTCTTGCCCAAGGAAATGTGACCAGGAGACTATGTAGATCCCCAGCGCAGTTATGGCAAGACTTTTTAAGAAAGCATTTTTAGAATGAGAAAGAGAGAAACAAAAGTTCAGACTCCATCATATAGAAAAAGGAAACCAATCCAGCACCCCACTTCCCCCAAATCCTGAAAAATGTTAGGCACTCAAGAAAACCGGCCAAATCCTCCTCCCTTCTGGATGGGACAAGTGTCCCCACAAAAGTGGAGGAGGCTGTTTGGTCTAGTACTGACAAACTTCCCACATCTAACTCAGATGAGACAGAAGATGACTTAGCAAAAAATGGTTCTGCAGTCAATAATGGTCAACTCTTGCTCGTTCTACTCATATTTTAACTTCAGTTGTAAATACCATAATTTGCTATAACAAAACAAAGTGGAGGATTTGGTACCTGATCCCCAGTTCACCAGTGCCAAGGGAGCCCCATCTGACCACAGCCAACCAGCAGATTCATCCAGTTGATTTAAGCCTGTCCACATCAGGATTCCTTTTGCATCCAGATGTTCTGCAAGATAAAAATATACACAGCTTAACATTGTGGTATTAATTCAGATTGTCTCCATTCACAAGCTGGCCACCTGCAGAAGAACATGAAAACCTAAGGCTTTCTCATTGGTTTTTTTCATATAACACACATGATATTTGAATGCTTCCTTGTAGGGAATGACTCCTCCTCCCCAACACATGCATACACTTTTGTATGAGACAAGTGATCCCACTGAAGCAGAGGAAAGCATTTGCCCCATCACTGATGACATTCTGGGGCATTGGCGTTTTGCAGTAAGTTTTGCAACAGTGGAGTTTGGTTGTGATAGATAGTGCCCCTGTTCTAGACCACAACAGAACCAAATGGAAGGTTTAGCCTAAGAATGGGACACAATGCTTACCACTCAGATCGTCAATATGTTTTTGCTCTGCCATATCTGTGATGCTTAACAAATCTGCCCCTCGTCCCTGACATGCAAGCCGTGCCTCATTCCAGGAGAGAACAGAAAGAAGATTGAATTGGTAACAAATCTGAGTGTCTACATCCATCTTCCAAAAACTGTCACAGCCAGTCTCTGCGTGGAGTAGGGGGAAAAAAAACCCAGTTCAGAACAGCATAATATCACAAAGCAATTAAGGAAGATAACACTCCAGCACAACCATCTATCTTAATGAACACAAACATGAACAAATGGAAATGTTATGAGAATATTGTTATGACTTCACTTTTTTTTAACATTCTAGTATAAAAACTGTATCAGGAAATAAAATGCACTTTGAAACATAAAACAGGAAGAAAAACCAGTTTCAGAAATGAGCCTAGATTCCTCATATCTTGATCATGTCAATGAGTACACAAGTTTAACAATGAAGCAAACTGTGAGTGAACAGGATCCAGGAAAACATTTATCTCTCCATCTCTTCCTTCTCATTGTCCAGTTATTACTTTTACGTCAACATATTAACAGACTAAATAAGTTGATGGAGGCATACATTAAATAATTTTTAAGTAGATTGCTACATGCTGTAGCAAGTGCAGCAATAAACAATTTAAGCACTCCTCTTAGTGACTAACTCTAATATTGAGGAAGTTGATGAAATTGGAAACAGCTGGAATGGTTACTGAAAAAGAAGGGTGGTTTAAGTATTTATTTCTTTGATTTCTTTGATTTATATACCACCCATCTGGCAGCCAAGGTGGTTTAAGTATAATAAGGTGAAGAAAGCATGGCTGTCCATATGTTGCTGAGCTCCAACTCCCATCACCCTGCAGCACTGGCTACATTATATAGGGATGATGAGACATGGAGAGCTACATGTTTTCATTATTATCCTAAGGCATCTACATGTAAAGTGCATTAGAAAGCTTTCTCAACATCTTCAGCTTTCCAGCCAGAATCCTGTTGGTGCAGTTCTGCATGCATAAGGCTGATGATGTCATCAGGCTTTCATGCACAGAGCTATGCCAACAGAATTCTGGCCTTTTGTCTTCTAGATCTGGCCCTGAAAATGGTGGGATTTTTACTATTTTAGACATTGGTAAACAAATATAGCTTATATTGTTCAACTTTAAGGAGAACTAGAAATCAAATCCTACATCTTTCTTTTTCTGTTATCTTTTGGCTGAAATCCTGTTGCTTTGTCACAAAAGTGGAAGGCAAATGAGTGCAACATTCAGTTGCTTCTATTCCTTACTTGAATTCTGAAGACAATGGGCGCATGTACCTCTGAGAATCCCCACAGGGACTTGCTAATTAATATATGTAACCATTTCCAAAAGGCAGCTCCCAAAGTGACCAGTAATAAATAATATAATAAATTTCCAGATTATCAAAACAGCAAAATGATAAGAAAAGTATGACATTAAAGTCAGCAGGAACAGAAATAATCTTTAAACTACATAAAATGTTTAAAATGAGGGTTTGAACAGATGGCTATCCTGAAGGCCAAGTATTGTGTTAAATATTTTAAATGTGATTAATGTTTATTTAATTTTTTTACTGATGGAAAAAAAATACTGTGTCAGTCTTCCTCTCCCTTCCCACAGTAACCTACTGGGAAAATTTCAAGGCCAGAGTACATTCTTCTTATACGAGCAGCTAGGGGTGTACAACAGCTTTGAACAAAAATCAAAGCCAGAGGCAAACTGGGATGATTCAGACATGTTTTAGTGCTTCCCAAGCAAAGTGGGTTTCCCTCCAACACTAACAGATCAAAAGACAAGCCCAAACAAATCTTTGTGCCGGATGCAAGATTTTGAGAGGTGGCAACAGGGAGACTGGGAAAAAAGTGCTAATTTTTGTTTCTGTGATAAGACACCCAGGGGTTGGGGAAAAGTGGAGGGAGCAGGATTGACACACCCACTTTCTAATCTTATGGTTTATCCCACCAGCCCTTCCAAAGTGTTTGTGGATATTGTTCTGAAAAAGATGAACAGCAGAGGTGACCTTAAATAATGAAACTGCAGTTGTTCATACTTATAGATACAGCCATTTATGTGAAAGGGTTGTCCTAAAATGGGAAAAAAAGTTTGTTCTCTCCTTCCTCTCCTTGTGCTTCTCTGGGCAATTTGTGTTAAAAAAAAAAGGTTCACTTCGCAGACTGAGAGGGTATCTGAAAACCAATCTAAGATTTTTTTTTCAGATAGTGAAGTCTAGTAAATTTAAAACAATGGCAATCTTATGTTCCTATGTACTTATTCCACCCCTGAGCAACTCATTCTACTGATTATTTAAATTTTAATTACTGTAACAAGAAAAAGGGATGGGCCCTTTTATAACACAAATTTATCTCATTCCAAAATAAATCAATAGCCCACCTTCCTCTAATAAAATTTGCTGACTCTCCCCCCCCAACCTGATCCTATTATTTCATTTTCAACGAGGCACATGCTGAAGATAGGATATAGGACGTAACTATCGGACTGACAGTTTATCATCTGTTACTTTTATCAAAGAACGCCACCACATACCAGAGTTTGGGCACAGCCCCCATTTTTCATCTCGCTCATACTGACTTGTTGTGGCACACCAGGGATACCCATCTTCTCTGGAATCTCTGACGCATTCATGGTGCCATGTGTTGTTGTATTTAAATGGAAAAACACAAGGTGAACCAAAGGAATTTCCCGACAGGGTATACATTTCTGAATGAAATAAATACTGAGAATAAATTACATGGGAATATAAAATCCTGCTCTTTCATTCTTCCCAGTTTTGTTATTCTGAACACCATTGTTTTTTAACAGCACACACAATTGCACAGAAGGAGGGTTCCTTTAGAATCAGTGGTTCTAACTTCAAAGTAAAAGTATTTATGACTGTGGCGTAATAGCAGCTATTCCAGATTATCAATATCCTAGCTGGTATATCTGTGAAGATTCTCGGTCATCCAGGTGTGGTTATCTGGAAGTTGAGTCATGGCAGACGGACGTCTTTCTTGTTAGGTTGAAATGTTTCGCTACTCATCCAAGTAGCTTCTTCAGTCTGAGGAGAGTTGGTAGGAGACCCCTGATATATCCTCCACATTGATCTCATTTCGCCCTGGTCTGAATAGGCCCGTTAGGACAAAGGACTGGGAGTGAGGGATAATCCCACTTCTGTAGTCCTTCTCCACCCATTGATAATTAATGGTTTGCCTTGCTATGCTATAAATTAAATACAATATCCACAGGCCTTAAGGGGGACAACCATAAGAACATAAGAAGAGCCCTGCTGGATCAGGACAAGGGCCCATCTAGTCCAGCTTCCTGTATCTCACAGTGGCCCCACCAGATGCCTCTGGGAGCACATGAGACAACTAGATACATGTCTCCTGATATCCCTCCCCTGCATCTGGCATTTTGAAGTATCTTGCATTTAGGAGATTATACATCCCTATCATGGCTTGTAACATGTGATGGACTTTTCATCCAGAAATCTGTCCAATCCCCTTTTAAAGGCATCTAAGCCAGATGCCATCATCACATCCTGTGGCAAGGAGTTCTACAGCCTAACAACATCCCCTTAAGAAGGCAATGTCCTGACCCAGGAAGACAATGGAACAGTCTGAGACCCAGAGCCGATGGAAGAACTAGGCCATTCCTTACATGGCAGGTGTGTCTGAAAACCTCAATAGGATTTTTGGTAAACACTATATATCCGTGCACTTCAAACTCACAAAACCACTAGGGCAGAGATTCATCCACCCAAAAGACTGGATAACAAAACACAACAGGAGCAATATAGTAGGTGTGCTCCAATGCAAAGAGGAGTGTTTGGAACTCTACATTGGAGAAACCAAATAGCCACTAAACAGGAGAATGGCCCAGCACAAGAGAGGCAATGGCTCAGGACCACAATCAGCAGTGTTCCTTCATTTGAAGGACAAAGGGCACTCATTTGATGACCAAGATGTACTCATTTTGGACAGAGAATATAGGTGGTTTGAGAGAGGGGTCAGGGAGGCCATACATGTGCATATAGAAAATCCCTCACTCAACAGCGGTGGAGGCCTTAGATACAATCTGTCTCCTATTTATCATGCTGCCCTTTCATCGGTTCCCAGAAAGAGTAGGACCACACACACCAGAAAGATTTTTAATGACTGTTATGATCCATGACAATGTGGGGAAGCACTGCAGAAGTGGGATTATCCCTCACCCCCAGGTGTCCTTCTAAGGAGCCTATTCGGGGGAGGGGGGAGTGAAACCAATGCGGAGGATATACCAGGAATCTCCTACCAACTCTCCCCAGACTGCAGAAACTACTTGGATGAGTAGCAAAACTATTTCAACCTAATGTTTCAACCTAACAAGAAAGAAGACTGGTTTCCACGACTCAACTTCCAGATATCCTCACTGATAGTTATTATAATTCAGTTTTATCTTTCAGTTTTTAGAACCATACCATAGTGGCATGTGTACAACTCTATCATAAAAAGACTGAACTGTAATAGTTAATTTTGTACTGTGTCCCATAAAATGTCATAACTTCAGATAACAGCTGTGATCTTATACTGACTGCTTACACCTTGACTTCTTTCTGAGCTTTAATAATATTTGTAAAAGATGTCACACTGATAGCAGAGAAACAGAGTGATCAAAGTCCTTTGTTCGCGCATGATACACCCTGGCTTCACAGAATTCCCAAAACGGAGGACTGTCACTGGCATGCTTGTACAAATTACTTCTGTAACTGAACCAGGAGTGGAGAACCTTTGGCTTCCAAATTGTTTTGGATTAAAAACCCAAGAAGTTCCAAAGGTATGGTCAATGGGAAGGCCTCCTGGGAGCAGTAGCCAAAACATCAGGAGGTCAAAAATTTCTCTACTCTGCTTGCAGCCAGAAACAAATCATTCCTGTGTTCATAATTTTCATATACACGAGTCTTCCTTCAAGTAAGTCTTGAGAACAATATATGGGAACGAGGCGCACATATTCCCTTCCATGCCAGGTACCATTATGTTGAACCATTCCTGCTATTTTGGCTTGCAGGCAGACACACATGCTAGGATTTGGGTCATGAATCGACCTGCGGAAGGCTCTAGTATGTGAAAATTAGAATATGGGAAGTGGATCTAAAAAAACGATCTACTTCATAACTCATTGGGTTGGCTGACAGGTTAACCAAGGTAAAGGTGTACTTAGACCGATTACAAGCTGCATCCTGAAAGGACAAAATGAAAGAATATGGAGATGTATCCATAAAAGAGTAGCAACCCATCAGCATTACTCTCTCTTCCTCCCCAAATGCCATAGCATACAACTCCAGAAAAGCTGGGCAGGCCGATGCTCCTGCTGCTGCAATCTCTGAAAAACTGCAGGGTCTTTTCACGTGACTTGTCAGGAAATTATGAAAAAGCTCTGAACACAAATAATGACAGCATTCACATGTAATGATAAATTATGACCCTGTGCTATGTGCAGAAGGAGTAAAGAGCGTGTGGTAAGCATAAGGCTTACATGCTTCTTCCATATGATGTACACAAAAATGACCTTCTCTTTAGATTTTTGGTTTGTTACGTAGAAAGATTAGTTTAACACAAGCTCTAATTTATTTGTTGCTCACTCATTTAAGCAACTGAGTAGTGTTTATTTTAAATAACAATTCATGATTTGCATTTACTGACCAGGAATCTGCCAAAATCATGTTGGAAGGGAGAAGCAGGAGAGTCATTTCAGTCTGAGGCTTTGCACGGGCTCCTTTCTCCTTTTGCATGTAGCCCTGAAGCATGTTTTAGTGCTTTTAACAAACGTAGGAAATCTCTTGCAATAGTCTTGCCGCTGTAGCATCAGGCCCTAAGGGTTTACACTATATTTCTTAGGTCCTGCGTGGGCAGACAGCAGAATCATGCCCGCAAGATGCTGAAGATCTGCAAATTTGTCCTTACCTGCTAAAAGTGCTGGCTCCTATATTTATAGCTCTAAAACAGATACATTTGAAGAGTTCAGGCTATAAATACAATTTAGGGGTAGTGACTCTTCTCCCCCTTCAACCCACAATGACTATAAACATGGGGAAATGGGAAAACTGGAACTACCTCTATAGCAAAGATGGACAAAGTTTTCCCCAACCCATGCAGTGCCCAACCAGGAGCTGCATTTTTATCGGCCCAAAGGTCTGCATTCCCCTCCCCTGAAAAAAAACCCTGTTCCTGAAACCCTCTAGGAGCAGTGGTTTTGAAAAAAAAAAAAAGGATGTTTCTACACTCCTAAAGCCACCCAAATGAAACTGAACACACACTTTTTGTAAGATTCATTTTTCATTATTTTTGCCTGTTTGGAGGAGGTTGGTATGGCCTCTCTTGTTGGGTTCTGGGAGGGAGAGGGAACTCATGGAAAACAATGTCCTTCTTGCCCCAGTGGGTAGGACAGCATAACCAAAAACAAAACTAGGCTTACAGCTACAATTAATGGCTACATTTTTGCTGGTGCTCTCCCACCCACCTAGGTAAAAAGGACCTTATTTTAACTACGGACCCTCTGAATCTGTTCCAAGGTACGCTGTCAGCAAAATACTTCCAAACCTGCAATACGCAGATGTATCCTTATTTAAGCTGAGTGTGGTCAGCTATACTACAAATAATAATAATAATAATAATAAAAAATAAACTCTGTTCAAAAGGTCCATCATATTATGCAGAAGGATCTTCACTCATGGCAATAATATTAATGGGAGCACAGACAGAAACCAGATGTTTGTTTTACCTTCGAATGCCAGCTCACAAACATCTCCATCATGTGACATGAACTGCTTCCATCCATAACTGGAAATTCTTTTTGCCACAATAAACTTGCCACTTTCAACTGCTAATTTGTACTCTGCTGCACCAACCAAAGTTTTCCCATGGCAGTTCCACCACAGCGAATGTTGAACAGAATCACATTCGGACATGATCAATGGCTGCTCTTGATTGCTGATGTTGAGTCCTAGGCACATGCTTCTCCCAATGTTGAAAAGGTACTGTTTAGAACCCCATTTCCACAACATGTATCTGGACAACAAACTGCAATCTTCAAGGACAAGATTAGATGTGCCGGCTTTAACGCATGTGTTGAAGTCATCACTTTGGATAATAAAGATCCCTTTTTCTAAGACAAAGAAAGTTCAGTTTCAATTCATCACAATAACTGGATCATTACCAACCCGGTACACAGTATTTTTATATATTAAACATGATTTTAAAAGCTTTTTATTCAAACATAGAGGAAAACTGTTTTGCCAAGCAATGGCTTTTCTAAGATGGCCCTTAATGAGTTTTCAGCTGATCTTCAATTTGAATCTGAGTTAATATATTCTAAAATGTAGTATTTCCTTTGCAAAACACAAAACAAGCTATTAATACAAATATATGGAAGCATAATAAAGCTGTGGATAAAGAGAGCTAAGAGTCCTCTTTGGTAAGCTGAAACTGGGACTTTTCTTGCATTACAGTCAATGGGAACAAGAGAAAATAATATACTAATAACTGAGTCACAGACCCATAACTTGTGTTTGTTTGAGCCTCTGGGAGAAAACGGACCCTTCTCCCTCCCAGATCAGAAGTGGTAAACCAACATATCTTTTCTGGTTTCTAAAGGCCTGGTTAGATGCATTTGTGAAAGTCTCAATCCAGTGGGTCAAAGCAGCAGTCAAGCATTTTTCTTCCCTTCATCACCCATTAAAGGCCAACAGGCCTTCCAAGAGATACTGAAGGCAGAAAGAAACATCACCAATAACTCATCATTAGAACTGAGGACCTGTTAGTGTTTGAAGTGGATTCCTGCAGGGTGTCATGTTTGAGGCTTCAAAAGAACCTCACGCTTAAGTCCTGAAGGCCATCAGAAAACAAGGTAAAATCCGTAACGAACAGCTCCAATGGCCAAATTCCTATCTCTCAGGAAAAATTTCAGCACAGGAGAAGTCTTTAGTGGGTGGGGCAGATCCTCTGTAGGCATTGTTTATTCTCATTATTGGTCCTTCTGCTTCTTTCCTTCTCTTTCAAAATGCCAGATCACAGCATCTATGGCCACAAGCAGATGATTCTATTGTTACTGAAATAGTTACTAATTTTGATCCTTCTAGATGGGGCATTTATTGTGCAGTCATCTTTCCTCACTTATGGAGTTTTCAGTGGTGTTTCCAAGGTGACCAGCTTGTTTCCCACCCTCCCAAATTTGTCCATGGGAAATTAGGAAAAGGCACAAACGATTTTCAGAGGGGCATGCACATTAACTTCTTGCTGTAAACAACAAAAATAACTCCATGAATAGTCTGGCGTACCTCAAATACTAACACATTTAGTATAGGGATATGGCCCACCAGTACAGGGAGAAATACCAGAATATAAACACATGGTAGTGATGATGGGAGAGATTGTAAAGTTATATACACAGTGAATATGAAGATAGATACTAAAGCATTCACCCACCCACATTAAATAATAATGTTGACTCCACAGAAAGGAGTAAAAGAGTACAGCTACATTAGCAGCACGAAGCAAGCTCATGTGGAATGACTGGGCTTGATTAGAAAAATCCAATCAAGCCTGACCATTCACATGGAAATAGCTCATGCCAATACTGTGAACTGGCTTAATAAGTGAGCCACTTCAGGATATTGACAGATTAATCACTCCCCCTGCTCCGCAGAGGTCAGGGCAGGTGACATTTTTCAGACTGTGAGTAGACAATCACTGAGGTGCTACACCAGTTATTTTTAAAAAAATTAAAATATTTTCTTTGCCTTCTCTTGAAGGGCTGGTCAAGAAACTGCCTGTGGACTTCACAATGTTGGCAAACTGAAAGAGGAAGGCTCATTTTAGGTTGGTTCCAGTGACTATATGTGAGTAGCTAGGTATCCCTACCACTTATGTGCTGGAACTAATCCAAATCAGAGCGATCCTACTGTATCAACAAAGTAGAAGCCCCTTGACTAAAAGGGTGCAGGTAGGAATGCTCTTGGGGGGGAGAGGCTGATGCACTCTTGTAAAGATGTTGTCTGATTGCCATCTCCAATAGCACACCAGCTAGGATACTAGCAGCACCCCAAACAGCCAGCTAAACAGCCCATGTCATCATCCTCAAAGACTCAAAAGTACCTGTAACCTAAGCCATGGTTCAATATCAGCTAATAATTTCCGAAAATAAAGAGGTTTGCAATGTAAGATAAATTGCAATGTGATAAATTGAATTTTGCCTTTTTAGATACAGGTATTTTGAGTACAAAACACGATGTGCTCCAGTCTCTGAAGACACTAAATTACTTCCTTTTAAATTCCAAAACTTGAAAAAAACTGGTAATAACATGTTGGGGAACTATGTCATTTATCACCTGTACTGTCACAAGTGTCAGCCAACAGATACCTATGACTCTTGCACATCACTTAGGACGTTAGTGATGCACATGTATAGGTGATAGGAGCAGCAAGAGACCATTGCAAAATTTTGGGATTGGGTTCACTCCAGGAACATGAGTGGCTTGGGTTGTTCTTCTTTATTTCTGTTCACTGTACAGTAGTTTTATGCAAGAAAAAGGTCATTTATCACCTGTACTGTCACAAGTGTCAGCCAACAGATACCTATGACTCTTGCACATCACTTAGGACGTTAGTGATGCACATGTATAGGTGACAGGAGCAGCAAGAGACCACTGGAAAATTTTGGGATCGGGTTCGCTCCAGGAACATGAGTGGCTTGAGTTGTCCTTCTTTATCTCTGTTCACTGTAGTTTTATGCAAGAAAAATATCAATTTTCTGTAACAGACACATCATATTAGGGAAACATAATAGGATTTCCAGTTAAAAACAAGCAAGTATTTATGCATATCAGAGATTATTTGCAGTTAGACCTTAAAATTCTTGTTTTCTGTTTTTAAACCAAGAGACCCTAGAGAATAAATTAATTCTAATTTATGGTGACTCTTTCCAGGGTATAGAGTGTGAAAAGTAGTTTAGCATACCCTTCTTCAGAGGGCATTCTGGGGCTGTGTACTTGGCCCAAGGCTGCTTAGGCTGCCTCTTCTCCCAAGAAGCACGGAGGGCAACCAAGTTCCCCAAATGCTCCCTCTCTCACTGAGCTATCCAGCCAGCAGAGAAAAATATTAAGGGTTAATTAATATATTCTCATCTCTGTTAATGGCACCATTTGCAGCCTGCTTGAAGTGACTCTTGCATGGGGCATACTCCGTGCCCAACATAATGCTGCATAGAGAATCTGCAAACCAATGCTCGGAGAAGCATGTGCAATAATTTGGTCTCTGTAGTCTGATCGGAACCCAGTTCGCGGAACTACTGAATGACCCCCAGTCCAACCCTAAGCATGAACCTAATGAATTCAAATTACAATCAGTGCTGTCAATTCTGACTTGTTGGCTACCCTTTCCAAGTTTTTCTAGGTGAAGTGGTTTCCCATTCCCTTTTTTCTGGGGGTGCCCTGGGACTGTGCAGCTGGCCCAAGGTTACACAAGGTGCCACGGCGGGGAATCGAACTCCCAACCTCTGGCTCCCCAGCAGGATACCTCATGCACTGAGCAGCCAGCTCAAAAGAATTATTGTACGTCTAGGATTTGGGCCCAAATCGTTCCGGGAGAGAAGCAATGCCAGCGTGCAACATCCACCCCTAGCGGTGGGTCATACGACTGACCGACTAAATAATAATAATAATAACAGAAGGAGAAGGAATGCAATTAGAAAGCCGGGAGGGGGGGGGGGGAGGGCCCGGGAGCGCGAGCGCGTCGCTATGTTCTGAGGCGCGCGGTCCCAGCCAAGCCGCCCCTTTCGCGCCAAAGCCTCTCCTCCGTCCAGTCCAGCGGACTTACTCCAGAAGGCGGGCGCTTGGTCCGGCGTCAAAACGGCGCGCTCCTCTTCAGCCGGGCTCGAGGGAAGGCTCAGCAGGGAGCAAGCGAGGAGCTGGAGCCACTTCACAGGAAACATTGCCGCGGCCCCTTCAAAGTCCCCGACCAACTTCTCCTCTTTCCCGCCCTCGGCGGGGAAGAAAGGAAAGACCGAAAGAAAGAAAGAAAGAAAAAAAGCAACAACAAGAACCCAGCCAAGCCACCCGACCCCGTTGAGTTGGCAGAAGAAAGGACAATTCCTTTCCAGGAGAGAAATGGATGGTTCGGGGGGCGGGGTGCGCAAGGCGGCCGGCCGGCCACCGCAGCTGCTCTTTCTGGGGAACTGGAGGGGAGGGGAGGGAAGGAAAGGGAAGGGAGCCAGCCGGAGAGGCCTCCAGCCCCCTCGCTGCCTGAGGAAAGACGGAGGGGCGTTGCCTTTGAAACCCCCCCCAAAGCCTGAGGGAGAGAAATTGAGCCATCCCACTCCGCGGGCGACGGAGCTGCCGCTGCGATGAAGGCAGGCGGCGTCGGCACGAGGCGAGGGGAGTCCTGCGGGCGGCGCTGGAGAGAGGAAGTTGTGGCGAAACGGGAGAAGCGAAGTACAGTACTGTACCTTTCCATGTAAAGTTTTTCAGACGCTCTACATGAGAAAGGAGCTTCACAGCAAACCGTACTCGCAGTGCTTTGCTTTTGCATGTTCCCCCGGCCCGGGTCCTGAACACCACACCCAAACTGGCCGTACCATGAAATCCACCTACAGAAACACCCACTGTCTTTACAAGAATATATCGCAGTTAACCACACAGGGGAAAGTCTGTTCGAATCTTTTCAGCTTGAAAAAGTAGCTAGATGCTCCTGAGTGGCAGGAACATTTCCCCCCCTAGGAATTACTTTGGGTAATGAAGTGTTCAAAAGTTGCAGGAGATCCTAGTGACTTACACACTGCAACTGCTGCATTTCTTGGTGTATGTGGTTTTGTGGGGTCTACTAGTTCCTAGCAGCTTTTGAACAATATTGTTTCTTACAGAGACCCTTTTGCTTTATATTTGGACTGTGTTCTTATAGGTCAATGTATGACCCAAAGTGATCCCTCCACCCCCGTCTTGTATCCAAATGACTGGTATATTTGTGCTGGCACATATCCCCTCTTTGGGTCTTCCGGAACCAGGGGACACATGCAACACTTCTCTTTTGTGCTGGCACATACCCCCTCTCTGGGTCTTCCGGAACCAGGGGACACATGGAACTCTTCTCTCCTCCCAAGGCATCCTGGTATCCAACCAACCCCTCCTGCGGCTCTTTTCTGGCTGCACATATACAAATCCTACCCCATCTGAAGGATTTCTGGAGACAATTCAGTTTGGGGTTTCAGCTGCTTCACCCTGAACTTCGAACAAAATCTCACTTTGTGGATGTTCTTGCAGAGGCAACATTTTCCTTTGATTTTTGGGTGTGCCTCTTCCCCCTCCTTTTTCTCTTGCTCTGGGATAGGTGACTCATCTGGGCTGCAAATCATTAAAGAACTGGCAGAGGTGAGACTAGGAACAAAGGAAGGGGGGCTGTGGGCTGGAATGCAGCTCACCTTACAATCAGCATGAATGGTGAACTCCTGAATCAGTCGGCAGCCCCTGTGTGAGCACTGATTGCGATTTCAGAGGTAATGCAGGCTGCATGAATTGTTCCAGTTCAGCTCTCCAATGTAGTCACACCCTATATCTACCTATATGGACCAACTCCTGCCAGGAAGGCTATTTACTCTTCTCATTGATCACGGCTTCTGTGTAAACGTACCTAGAACCAGGCAGCATGATGTTAGCAAGGCATTTGAGAAAGACTGGTTAATTACAGAACAGTGTCTTCTGACTTTAGTCCAGATGATACTTGAGATGAGTCCAAACTGAAGTAGTGGAAAATGAAAATTAGTGTATTAGTTTTCCTTTTAGATGTGCTTAGGTTCAGAGACAGCCAAGTGCAGTTCAAGTGGTAATTTGTACAACATTAGTTAAAATAGCATTCATTACTTGACAGGTTCTACGGGTGTAGATTTCATTTGATTCATATATCAGAGCCCATGTGCTTCCATTGATCATTACAGCTAAGAGAAGGGTGCTTTTGAGCTCACGGAGCCACTTTGTTTGAAAGGAAACTGGATATATCCTTGCTAGTAGAATTTGCTGATAAGGAGTTTAGTGTGAATGTTATGAAGAACTACTACATACCAGTACACATTCATCATTTAAAAAAACACGACACCTTCATGATGCAATGAAAAGTATTAGTTTAATGAAGAAAAAGCACTGAATTAGAACTAGACTCTTGTCTGTCTGCTTGCTGTTTCTTATGACAGCATGTTGGATAGCACAGTGGTTTAGGTCTTTGGTGCAGACCCAGAGGTTGAGTGTTTAATTCTCTCCATGATACAGTTCTGTTCCTCAGGGTTATTTCCCTTCACTCCGCTCAAGGCGAGGTCCAAGTTTCTTAACCCTCCAGTTAATGCCACCGGGGAGGGTGGTACCCCACGCTTTCCTCTTGGAATGCTCCACATCAGACAGTAAGATCCATAAGTGAGGATGGTTGATATGCCCACACTGAGGGCAACATGTCAAGGTGTCAAAGTTGCCAGTGTCAAAGTTCGATCACTGTTGGTTCTCCCAAAGGGGAGTTCAGTCAGGGGACTTGTCTCTACCTTTGACTTCTGCTTTCTCCAAAAATGGGGCTGAGGAAGATAGTGGGAGGTTGAGATTTTTTCCCCTTCCCCTTTGGATACTCTCATCTGCACCCAAACCTCTGTCCAAGGGCCCTCTTTGTAGATGCAATCCCACTCCCTAGCAGCTCATGTTCCTCACCCTGGAAGCCCTCTGCCAGTTCCTCCAACGCTCTGCCTCTTCTTCCCCCCTCTACCAGAGTTTTGAGTGTAAAGTCTCCCATCTGGAATACCTGTTCTCCCAGCTCTTAGGGGCTGTCTTATTCCTCCTCTAAGGGCCACTCTTCATTCACTGAGCTGTTGGCTCAGGATCTCCTCTCCAGGACCTCTACCTGGGTTCTTTGTTCATGAGCCCCAGGTTCTTTTTGTCTGGCTTCTCCCAGTGACAGTTCCAACTGGGTATCTGCCAGGTCTAGAGGGGAACTCAGTCTAAAAATCCTCAGGTCCTGGGCAGAGGGTAGATGTCCCACCAACACGGGCACCTGTGTGCCACAGACATCTTCCTCACACCATTCTTGATTTTTTGAATTATATCCCCCACTGTCTCTTATAGTGAGGACCGGGGATTCATTCACTTAAACTAATGAGCACAGTGAATAAGACTGCCAGCTTTACAATTAGAATCTGTTAGAATGTTTCCAGTTCTTTCAAAACTTGCTTAAGCAATCAGACTTATAAATGAAGTCCATGTTCGCCTCCCAGAGACCAAGCACAAAAGAAATACAGGCTACTCTGCAACATGGAAGGGGCAAGGAAAAGTTTTGTCGGATTTAACCAGCGATATTTGCCACACAGTGAAATTCTCCTTCTAATTAAGTACTAATGGTACTGTCTAGGTCATAAATTCTTAACCTGTGGTCCATGGACCCTGAAGGGGGGGTGCAGTGTCCTCACAGAGGGTCTGCAAAGGCTTGAAGAAATATTACGATCTTTTGCAGTTAAAATGGAAACAAAGAATGAATGAAAGGAAGGAACGAAGAAAGAAAGAAAAGGAAACATAGAACAAAATCTTATTTCCCTTGCTTGCTTGTGTAAAACTTGGCCTTTCGTACCTACCATCTCCATTAAAAACAAACAAAAGTAAAAATCGGTTATAAAAATAACTTTGATATTTCTGCTCACGGTGAGGACATGCAAATGAATGTTGCAGAGTGTTTGAGAGACAGCGTGTGACATTTCTTGCTGCTGGGCAGTCAGAAGCCGTAAGAAAAGAGAGTTGGAGTCAGCCAGTATCAGTGTGAATGAGTGTTCAGATTGACTTCATGATCGTGTTTCTTCAATTTCTGTGAATAAAACTGTTTGGTTAAGGCTTAATTTGGAATGTAAAAGAACTGGTGCTGTTGGTGAGGATGCATCCTGTTCAAAGCAAAATGAAGCTTCTTCCAGTCATCTTAAAAATTGCTGTAGTTATAGGAAGGAATATCTGTTGATGAAACCCTTCATGAGAAACTTTAAATATTTGATAGACTTAAGGGTTTTAAACTCTGGGAGGCAGTGGAAGACAGGAGGGCCTGGCGTACTCTGGTCCGTGGGGTCACGAAGAGTTGGACACGACTTAACGACTAAACAACAAAAGGTTTTTAAATCTTGAGCTAAGTCTTGGTGGTCTGAGGCAGCAAAAGATATTTACAGGGGAGCCATGGTAAAGAAAAGGTTAAGAACTTCTGGTCTACGTTGGCCGGAAAAGCAGAGGTCATCCTGGCCCAGTGTTTCAGTGACACTGAATTTTGCTCCAGAAATAGACAGTCTTTCAAAATACCCACAATTATTCTCCTGTGTAAAAGGAGGTGTCTCAGAAGCCAGTATTCCAGGCTTTATCAGCACCTAGCATTTAATCAGGGAAAACGTTCATAAAAACCAAGCATCCTTAATTCCCTGTGGGAAAATGTTGGATAATTTTAGTCAGATGCTTATAGATTTCTATTAGAAGGTTACATATTTATAAGAAATCGGCAAATGAGGGGTTTTTAGTTGCCTTATGCTTGCTGGCTTGTGCCTGGAATGAGCAGCTGGAAAGGAGGAGGGAAGAGTGGCCATTAATTGGGAGGTGAGAACACCAGGGGTTACCTTGATGAGGTGGAACGTCTTCAAAGTCATAAAACACTTCTTTCCTGGTTCCAAGCTAATTGACATTTGGGGTAACTGGGAATCTGATTAGTGGATTTCCCTCGAAAGATCTGGAAAGGTGTAATGGGTATAAAGATAGCACAGAGAATATAGCTACGGTAGTTTAGCTTGGCTTTTTTGAGGAGAAGGTTATGATCATTTGCTGTCCTACTTCTTAGTCTCTGCTCTGCATATGCTTGGAAACAATGTTTCAGTTCTGCTGGATTGTATTAGGATAGGGTAGCTAGTTTTCTTTTTCTTTTTCTCTCTCTCTGAAGGTTTCTGGAGTTGCCTTGGACTCAAATCTTTTTGAATGCTTTTTGGCTTCCCATTTTTTGACTGCTTTTGAAGTTTTTGAACTAAGTTTTGAAACAGCTTTGAACTTCATTTTCTTTTGGACTTTTGCGACATCTTTAATAAAACAGTATATTTTTCGCAGTAGTTTGGTTATAGGCAGGGTTGGCTGGTACTAAATCCAGGTCTTGCCTTGGTCTTATCTTTACTGGACCCCTCATTTTGGTATTTTGGTATTCCTACCTGGCAGGGTTGTTGTAAACGCTAAAGTGTGCAACCTTGTGAATGTTGGTGATTTCTTGGTGGCTCAGGAGTGTTGGGAAGGCACCAGGCAGGGCGATTTTTCCAGGCCAACTGCACATTGACCCCCTGGAGATTACCCACACCAAAAAATTAAGGTTAGTGTGACTGACTGATTTATGTGGTTTTCTCCGTCCCAACCATAATCTTGACACATATATTTGTATTACATGTAACAAATTACTGCTTTCAGTAGTAATAAATGGATTTCTTATTAGTGAGATAATTACAAGAGAGGGAGAAAGGTAAAAGATAACAGGTAATTTTTTTCAATGCCAACTCAGTTGTGCAGAAGGGCGGGGAATCCTCATTTTCTCTGTATTAAATTTCATCATAGATAAAAATTCTATGAGCACTTTTTCTGGCTTAGAACCTCCAAATGTGCAAATGTTGTTGGCAAGCTTAGGCTTTTTCATCCTGTCTGATATGTATGATCATGGTTCTCTTATAAGTATCAATCCAGATTTGCCAGCTGGTGGCAAAATGGAACTATAGCAAGGAAGATTCCAAAATATGCACCATTTGTCCTGAAAATATAGAAAATGAAGATTTACAGAGGGGCTGGATATAGGCAGGATCTGCAATAAATTACATACCACAGATACTCACTGTAGAGCCAAATCAATTTCAGCTTTCACATCCCACTGTGAAATATAAGCAGACATTCTCGTGGTGTGCTTGAGAAGTATGATAGAGTGGCAATATAGCCCTTGTCAAAGGCAGAAAAGGAATGTGCTCGTCATTACAGCAGGATATTAGCAAGAAAGAGGACAATCTATATGAATTTATATTAGAGAAGAAAAAAGAGAACTGACATAGGAGAGGAAAATCATGCCAAATTTCTTGAATATTTTATAAGAGTGAAGACAAAGTAATTATATTTCATTGTCTTCTCAAACTAACAAGTAAACATAGTGTAATAACCTAGAAATGAAAGTTGATTAAAAAGTCTATGTTTATTAGAAATTCCTCCATTAGGCAGAAAGAATGAGCAGCAATGTTGGAGCTATTAAATATGGAAAGCAACCCATAAGAATGACTGTTCGGGCCTCTCTGAACCACAAACTAGTTAGCATTCCATTCCTTATTATCTTATCTTATTTTGTCACTTTCCACGCTCTTTGAAATTGTCCATCTAAGATATTTTCCTTTGGCATAGGTCTTCTTAACCACTTCCTGATAATTCAGGAAGCCACAGCTTGAAAATAACTAGTTATAAGTAACAAAGATTCCTACAGCTAAGAACTTTGCAGATAATACATAGATCACAAAGATACAAAGATAATTAACAGGCAAATACAACTTTTTTGTATAATGACCAATATTTTATAGTTACATTCATAAGTTACTTCAAAAAGGCATTTTAAGAAGTATTCTGACAGAATTTAAAAGTTTCACGGCATGCTTTTATCAATCCTAAGTGGCAAAGGAAACATTGTTCCTCTTTTATCATTTTCGTAACCATTCTCAAGGTACAGTGCAAAAAATGACCACTCTTAAGAACTGGCAAGCATTTCCTCTTTTTTTTTTTTGTTTTGTTTGGTATGCTGTAACATATAACACAATGAATTACTTTCACAAGCATGAGCAATGGTAACAATAATAGCAACACAGATGAAGCAAAGTACAGTAATGCATAACACAGCAAGTTCTGTTAGAAAAAAATAATAATGCTCAAATCTCTGCTCACAGCTCCAGAATCAGAGTCTAGAATTTGGGTATCAATTTTGATATTGCCCAAAGTAATCATTGGGGTGAAGTAATTTGTGTGGTGTGTGTTAAGAAAAGCAATATACTGTCAGAAAGCGAACTAGAATGAATAGTATGATGAATTTTTAAAATTCATTTAAAATATTTTTACTCCACCTTTCTCCTTTAAAAGGACCCAAGGCAGCTTACATCATTAAAAGACAATATTTAAAACTAAAAACAGCAATTACACACATACAAAAAAAAGCAAACAAATGCCACACTAAAAGTGGCAAACAAAAGCAACACCAAACACACATTGAAAGCATTAAGGCAAAGCTGACCCCAAGAGTTTATAACCTTTGAGTATCTAGTTCCTTACAGCAGTTCTGCCTATATATCAGCATTTTTATAATCAAAGACATTTTTATTTTAAATTTCATTTGCAAAACTTAATGCTAATCATTCACACAGAGATTTACACAATGAATAAAAGCACCAATAAAATGCCCAAAGGACTCCAGTGAGTAACAGTACATTTACTAATTATGTTTTGGCCATATGTAAGGTCCAGCCTTGGGTCAAAACTACAGTATTTCAACAAAAATAACGAAGACATTTCCAGTGCCTCTGTCAAATACAAAATACATTCATAGTGTGAATTACATTGTGAATGCTTGCTTTGAAGAAACACCACCCTCGTCATTACCTCCACCATGCTACCATCACCACCACTAAAATATCTCATCCTTCCAATACCTGACCTGGGAAACTAGTTTAAAACCTTTCCCTCCCCCCACTTTTGCATTCACCCCACCCCATCCCTTTACTTTAAATACTTTTTTTCTTGCAGGGACAGATTTTATTCTCTCTAAAAACATGCCTATCAGGTTTCATTGGAATTCAAGTAAAATATTCATGACTGAAGCCTTGGTTTAATCTTCAGTCTACAATTCAGTTACAGTACATGTTTTTGTTGGAAAACGTGCTTTTCCTTTAAATAACCAGAGGAGCCCAGCACAGGGAGGGCAGGAGGACTGCTAGGGAATGAGCTACGTGTCTGCATGTGTGACTTAACTCTTCCCATTGGAGCTTCTCGCAAGTAATGTTCTCTATGCTGTCAGGTTGTCTACAGAAGTCTGCCTTGTCAATGGTGAACATAGGCTTCTCAGTGGAGGGAGAACATGACTTATAACCTCATGTCACTATTCAATAAAATAACTTTTGAAGTAAAAATATTTAAGTCTAAAATTTTGTGAATGACTTATTTCCAAACCAGAACTTAGTGACCCAGCCAGTATATAACAAGAGACCCGCTGTGAGAATGGGCTGTGAAGATCAAAATGGGTTCCAAAGTTGGCTTGTTTTCACTAACTACAATTTTAAACAAGAGATTGTTACTTGAATGTGGACAGCTTAGGGAAATGTGGCTAGCTTCAAAATCAAAACAGAAGCTTTTGGTTTCCTCTTTTGATTTCCTCTGGTGCATAAAAGAGCAGGGGAAGAGAGGAGTATGCAAGCCTGAGGCAGTTTCCCATCACCTCTGAGTTGCCTGTGCACAGGTATTTCTTTTTAATACCCCAAGTAATACAATTAACCAAATGGAGGTTAATTTTTTAAAAAAGATAGCGGGGATACATTTTCTGGCCAAGAAATTTTGCCACCTAAATCTACATGTGTGCAACGTGCTGGACCCTGGTTACTTGAGAGTCCGGAAAAAACATTGTGACAACATTCCTTATCCAGCGTGTTCCATAATCCTATTGACTTCACAGTGTTGGTAATATTCCTGCTGTGCTGGACCTGTGTAACAGATGTATAACTTGAGACTGCAGCAACAGCTCTGACCCACCCACAATTTTGATGTTTCTTGCTGATCCACCCAATCATTTACTAAATGTGAGCACGAAATGGGGTGAGCTGACCAGCTCAACCACCTCTTGACTGCTGACACCTGTCTGACTTTTCCAGGTGTTGCTATTGACCCAATATGTTCAGATGCTCCTTTCCACTAAAGTATTACCTGAGATCTTCTAATATGGGGGGGGGGGCTAGCACAAATAGTAGATCCTTTAGATTACAAAGTCATGACTCCAACGATCTTGCAATCATGTTTTCTTTCAAACCAAGCTCCTGTACGACTAGAGTATGTCAACAAGTTTCCATTTAAAGAGATGTATGACAACTGTAGTCATTGCTTATTTTTAATTTTTCAAAAACTAGTGTTTCTCTGCTGCTGTCCAGACCTCTAATATCTATCTGCAGCAGATCCTGGTTGCCTTTCTTTTTGCTTGTATGTTATATTCTTAAATGTTGTTGTTGAGCCTCTGTACAATGGGTTTGTTCCCTAGAAGAGAAAGCAAAATTGCATTCAACAGATTGTGTCACATTTCATTTTGTGGCGCTACCAGATACATTTAACATGGTAGTTTGGTAATTTTTTTATACTTCTTTTTTCACATTTAACAACTACCTTGTAAAGACTTATTGCTTTGAATGAAATTCATTCGTAATATGCTGCATAAATGTTGAGAAACTGACTCAGAGTGTGACAACACCCCAGCATTTTCAAGAAGCTCCACAGTGCCCACTGACATCTGTTATCTTTGGCACCTTGGCAAGTAGTTTGAAACCAGTCAATGCTCCTCCCCCACACCAATTTCCCAGTATCCTCCCCATTCCAATTTAAACTCTTTTGCCAAATGGTTTGGCTCACTAAAGCCAGCCTGCTCCTTCACGTTCAACTGTGTGGTGCAGTCATTAAGCAACATTTGCTACTAGAGCCAAAGCTAGAGACACGGAGCATCTTGCACGACTGGATAAGACAGCAGTCTCCTCGGTAGGGGCACTGATCTTAGAACCCGAAAGGTAAAAGTGGGCAGGGCCAAAGCCACTTAGAGTGGTCACTCTGATAGTCCAAAGTTGTTGCCCATGGCGTGATGAAACCCGCTGGCCAAATTCGGGCCATTTGCTGCAGAATTTACATTCCATTCTTGTACTACACCTTAGTGAGCAGTACAGGATGAACAGAGAGAAGATTTTATGGAGGAAAGAAAGGGTCTGCAATTATTAACTGAAATTGAAAGACTTATTTTTCATAGTAATATGATGTGTGTTTCAACATGACCTGAATGTTCGCAGATTTTTTTTCAGAAATAAGGATGTCAAAGAACTTCAAGGAATCGGCCATTGACCAATGCTAGTATTTCTCAACCATAGTCATCTTCAAAGACAAAAATGCCAAGGTATTTTTGTCCCAACTTCAGTTAAATACTTGCCTTAGAAAAGAAGCAATTAATTTGTTATGATCAAGTTGTGGATGTTTAAAGTAATTCCACATAGTTTTCAAGGAATCAGCTGTCTGGACAGAGAACCTTCAGAAATTTACATTTTCTCCGTCCCAAACCTGATAGATTTTCAAGAAAAAATGCCAAGAGTTTAAGAGCCTATTCTTAATGTTTTCCTTAATTTTTGACCTTTAATATTGGAAATCAGAAATGTCTGTTCCTTTTTATACATTACAGCCATACTGCTATCCATCTTAAATTGGATTTAATACTGTGAAAAACATTTAGGTGTTTTCTGAAATACAAAACCTGTACTGGGGTGGACAATATCTAGGGTCAATGCTCCCTCCCTCTCAAAACAGCCTACAAATGGCAAATTGTGCCTCTGGGACATCTAGCAGTATGATTTACCATATTTTGGGGAACAAATATTTATAATATGAGGAGCTGAGGGATTAGAGCGAGTGGAGGCTGCATGTGGCCTACAAGCTGCACTTTGCTTACCCTTAATTTATAGTAAATACACATCCATAGTAGCCATTGTGCAAGTGAATAAAGTGTGTGTGTGGGGGGGAAGCACTATAAAATTTGACATACCGTTTGCCATTTGGCCTTTGATTTCTCTGCTTCAAATTTTGCAACTTCTTTGCGGTCACGAGCTGAAATGAGCCATTTCCATATACAAAGCATGACAACCCCAGTGATAACAACTGCAGTTGAAACACCCAACGCAATCATCATCGTATTGGGAGGTTGTGGACAATCTGTGGACAGAAGAGGAAACCTGTGAACCTGTGCAGCAACAAGCCTAAAAGGAGCTATAGAATACTATTAAAATAGAATTTACTCCTCTCTATATATACCTATATACTAGTGCATTTAGTGCACATTGGCAGCTCCTATGTGTGTTGGCTGCATCATTCACTTAAGTGGAGAAGGAAATTCTGCCTGTACAAAGGAATGTACATGTGAATGCTGCACCCTCCATTGAAGAAAGTAGGTCAGATCTGTGGGCACCTACACTAAATCATTAGAACCAAATTACAATGACTGAAAGGGAAGTCAGCGCTATTCAGAACCCTCAGCATCCCTTCTCTAGCTAGGGTGCTTTGCATGGGTGGCCAATGACTTTAGCAGCACTCTCCTAGCTCCATGCAGAATTGTCTCTGAAACAGTTTTGCCCTAAGGCTTGTGCCTTAGAACGGCAGGTAAAAGGGGACAATGTCCTCCCCCTCCTGTAGGTTGTGTTTCATCAGAGCAGGAAGAAGGGAAGGTTGGCAGGCTGAGTGGAAAGGGGGAATTGGAGAAAAATGGATATACTGTAGCTACATTTGTACAACAAGATGGATCTGCCTGGTTTGCTCAATTCCTTCGAGTGGAAAGGGGGAATTGGAGAAAAATGGGTATAGCTACATTAGTACAACAAGATGGATCTACCTGGTTTGCTCAATTCCTTCATTTTAAAGGAGTCCTCTGAACCCATTCCACAGTGTGTAGAAGAGTCTCCTGAACTCTCTGGAGATAGTTTTCAGAGGATACAGTGTGCTTTCATTCATGGTTTTCAAATATAAGCCAAGGTTTCCAGGCAAGGTTTCTTTTAAATGCATATGGTCTAGCAGGAAGGAGGGATTAGAATTTTATTTCAGATGTGTGTGTGTGTGTGTGTTTTTAAAAGAGTCTGCCAACATTTGTAAATTACTTTACATTTGAGCCAAGAAGAACATGAGATTTTAAGAAGTTCAGTGTAGAAGAAACAGGAGCTGACATATTTGACCATCCAGGCCCAGGTCAGAGAAGACTTTAAAATCTGCTTTTAACTTGTGCGTAATCAGTTATGTTAGTTCTGAATGAGGTTTGCCATGTCTTTTCTTTGAGATGCTCCTCATTGTAAGCCACCATATGACAAGAGGGAACCAACAGCACCTTCCTGGTAGTTCATATTTAATTTGCAGCATGCAGATGGGGATAATTTTGTTCCAGTTCATGTCTGAAAAATTTAACAAAATCTGCAATGTTCTCTGTATCCAAGGCAGAATTCCACTTCCCCCATCGTAGCCTTTTTTAAAAAAAAATCTAACTGTGGATAAAAGTGACGCTCATGAACTTCCCCACCCCTGCTTAATAGTGTATTTAAGAAATGATTAACAAACCCAGTGGTCTCACCTTTTTGCTTTATGCTATGTATAGTAGTTTTTCCCTGATCATCAGCTGCCATTAGAAATGTGATAACACACTTGTTTTCCTCTCGGAGCAAACAAGGAACAAATTTATCTTCCACAATCTCTGTGAGGGGAGGAAAATCCATTTTCAGGTCAAGACCAATTCATCAAGCATTCACTATGCAGATAGAAGGATTTATAACATAAGACTATTTTCAGCAAACACTAGGGAAGCAAGCTAAAATGTCTGAAAGAATTCCACACAATACCACTACCACTAAAAGGTTTTTCTTTGTCAGTTTTTGTTACACTCTATACTTAGGTTTCAAATGAGAAGGTCCAGGTGTTATCAATCTGCATTGACCATCAAGAATGCCCATCAAGTCTACTGTAATTTGAAAGTCAGTGAATCGGAAATACCTCCAAGAGAGTTGCCATAGCTATCCAGGGAATATAATAGCCCTGATTATAGTACAAAGTAAACAATATCTTCTCTATGGTGGTAGTATGTCTAGACTATGTTTCAATATGTAGGATATTCCCATTTCAAAAGGATATAGATCCTTTTTTTTTTTAAAAAAAGACTGCCATTTATTGCTTTCAGGATGCTTTTATAAAGATTAGGGTGACATGAATTCGTGTAGTAATTAAAGAGAACTCATGACAAATAAGTAAGCCATTCGATAATTCTAACATTGTTCAGTGAAAAGTGAATTTAAAAGAACCTGAGATGAAACCAGTTTTTTCCCAGTTCCAGAGAAAGATTTTCACTTTTATTTTCCATAATGCAGAACCCCTGACACTCAATAAGCCCTAGAAAAATTGTGTGTTGAGGGGTTTAGGTTCCTATGACAGGCTGAAAAAAGAAGAAGAGAAACGGACTTAGACTGCCGTCTCTAATGGCAATACTGCCAGAGCACAATGTCTTGTCTACAATCCATCATCTGCTTTTAAAAAATAGTAGTAAGTTAACTTTATTGACATTCTTCTGAAATTCTTCTTTAGATACTGTATGAAAAGTAACATATCAAGATAATTGCAGGTACTGTAAACTGATTTTTAAAATGCAATCTTAAACAAATATCATATCCTGAGAAAATATTGTGTATCAAATATATTAGTGCTATCAATTTGTGTTAAACACTTCAATAGGACAATATTTAATTACAGTTGTTAATAGGGGAAGTAAGTCAATGCTATATTAGCTGAAATCCCTTCAAGAGAAATGGCATAGAGATTATTAATATTATAGAAATCTTAACTTGTTACATTAACATTATTAAAACTTGAGGCATGTACTTTCTGTGGAAGACACATATGCCTTCATAGGTGAAGGTAAAGGCAGCTAAAACCCCATTTAAAGACAAATGTTTTACTATATAGCTCAGTCTTATCCGTATAAATGCATTTAGACTTCAACACCCAGAAGCCTTAGTTAGCATTGCTAACAGCCTATTGCCTTTCTTAGGCTTCTCGGAGTTATAGAACCTGCCTCAGAGCTTACCTTTCACAACTCAGGAGACTACTGAGACCTTAGGAAATAGCAACCAATTCCTATTGCACCCAGTTTGGCAGGACTATCCCATAACTGGAAAAAAAATACTTGCTCCAGCCTTCCATAGATAGTGTTTGAAAAAAATTAATGGAGCAAAATCGCAAGTCATCTTGCAATTCTGTGCAAGATGAAGCTGGGATTATTTGCACAGTCCCTCCGCTAGTGTCTCTGTAGCCTTCCAAACTAGGAATGGACTGTTTAATCATCATCATCATCAAACTGCAGAGCTGGAATGGACCCTGAGGGTCATCAAGTCCAACCCCTGTCACGGAGGCACATTGGGTAACTGAATGCCCAACCTCTACTTTAACCACTGAGCTATCCAGCAGTTCAACTGTTGAGAGAACAGAAACCTTTTACACCTTTAAAAACTACCAGAACAGCAAGCTTATTAAACTGTAAATTTACAAGTTTTAAAATTTTTAATCTTAATGTTATGAAGTAGGCTCCAATTTATTATGTGTTGTAATAAAATTTATCAGGTTGCAATCATATTACACATCCATTCAAGGCACTTCTACTTCTGGTGTCTTTTCCTTTCTTGTGGCTTTACACAGGATGAAATGTAATGTCAATGTAACTATGCTTGTGAAAGGCATGATGAATGATGTCATTAGTATGGGTGATTTTCAGAAATTACACATTTCAGTCTTCTGTCCTGCAGCTCCCATGGTTGCTGTGTAATTCCTTTCATCACATGGGAGTCATGGAAGCCACAGGACAGGAGGAGGAAGTCTTTAATTTCAGAAATTTGCCAATATTGGGTTGTTCTCATTGAATATGCAGACTTCTAAAAATTTCATTTATAAGGGAGTTTAAGAGATTTTCTTGAATGGGTTTACCACTACTGTAAGTAAAAAATGAGTGTAACAGGGTAATTTTTTATAGTGGGGCAAAGAAACAGAAAGAAGAAATAAAGGGGATTGGGTAATAGGGTATGATGATAATGCAGTGTGCTTAAGATAGAGCAAAAACATACATTTTAGATAGCCTATTGATGCCCTTTTTCTTTCCCTTTCCTATTGTTTTTCCCATCTTGTTTAATGTTTCTGCTGTGCAAAAATTGTTATATATATATATGTGTGTATTGTATTATTTTATGTTGTTAGCTGCCTAGAGTGGTCCTAATCCGACCAGATAGGTGGGATATAAAATAAATAAATAAATAAATAAATAAATAAATGAATGAATGAATGAATGAATGAATGAATGAATGAATGAATGAATGAATAAATAAATAAATAAATAAATAAATAAATAAATTGAAGTTGAAAGTGAATAAATATTGCAAATAATTGTTTCAAAGAGACTTTTGTATCTGAAAAAATCAGACTTCAAAACAATCCCATTCTTACATCCGGAAGACTCAGAGCTCACCTATCCCAGCTCAGGAGACTACTGAGATAATAGCAAATAGCATAAAACAAAGCAAGCTGATCTGCAAGTTATTCGAGGAGAGAAACATAAATACAAGGTATGATGACCAACAATACACAAATACAAAATTCCAAACAATATTTAAATGAGAAATGCCCAAATCTATCTTAACTTGTATTAACAAAAACCATAGAAATCAAATGCCTAGTAGCAATACAAGGAATATGATTGTGCTTATCTGTCCAATTAATTAATTAATTAATTAATTAATTCCTTCCTTCCTTCCTTCCTTCCTTCCTTCCTTCCTTCCTTCCCATTTATATGCAGCCATTATATTAAATTCTAAGTGCTTGTTTAGAGTTCTTGTAATGATCTCTAATGACAGGGCTCAACACTCTCCAATTGACACTCTTAGCTACTGAACCTTCCCTTCATTTTTGTAATAATCCCTGTGAGAAATTATTCCAAACTTTGCCAACATACTCTTTTACCCTTCTGCCTGCAGATTCCTACCTGTTCTATGTACTTGTAAGTTTGGGCAAACCAATTAAAATGATTTCTAGTGAAAGAATGGATTTTAAAACAATAAACAAGTAGAAATCTGTTAATAAATTAATTTCTAGAAAAGTGTATATGTGTCTCTCTATGGACAGATCATTTTGAATTTGATGTAGTTGCTTTCTTTTCCTCCTTCCAGGTGGTCTCAGTCTGCTAAGAAATATATGGTTGCACATTTCATATATAATATTTGTTGGAGAAGAATGCAAAGAATTGGATTGTTTCCATTTGTGAAAGTTCTCGGGAACTTGTTTATTTACATTATTTGCATGTCACCTTTCTCCCCAAGGAGAAAGGAACCCCAAGGAGGCTCACAACCAAAACTATAAAACAATCATTAGTTTTAAAATATTTTTTTATTTATTTATTCAATTTTTACCCCGCCCCTCTAGACAATGTCTACTCGGGGCGGCTTACATGGATAAAAATACCAATTAAGTATCATATTAAAAAAGCATTTAAACATGTATCAAGATTAAAAACAAAATTTGAAACAATTTTAAAACATTTAAAAATCTGTAAGTTAATAAACAAAGCACTCCTGAGACACTTATTACTTAAAAACCTACCTGAAAAGATGCCCTTCTGCCATCTTTGCCTGATGACAGAAGGACAAGAGGGAAGGGACCAACCTGGCCTCTTGGGGGCAGTGCATCCTAAAGCCCGGGAGCAACCACTGAGAAGGCCCTCTCTCATGTCCTTGCCAAACGAGCTTGGGAAGGTGGTAGTACTGAAAGAAGTGCCTCCTCACAAGATCTTAAGAGCTGAGAAGACTCATATGGGGTGACACAAACCTTCAAATAGCCAGGACCAAAGCTGTATAAGTAGTAGGTAATAGATGTGTGATGAGGTTCGCTTCCTCCATCAGGCGGCCCCTCGGTGGGAAATAATAAAGGCGTAGTCTTTATAACTTTTAAACTATCAACTTTATTTTCTCCAACATCCACCAGCACTTCACTTGAAGGTATTAATGGTTCCAACTTGGGGAACAGGCCACTAGTATCAGCAACAAAATTTTTATCATAGTCCCATGGACTCAATGGGGTTGCCCCGCCACTAGTATCAGCAACAAAATTTTTATCGTAGTCCCATGGACTCAATGGGGTTGCCCTCCACGCCATCCCTTGTCCTCCGGTAGCGGGGGTGGGGCACTTCTGATCGCACAAATAGTCCCACAGCATGAGTGCCTTACCCACCCTTGTTCATCAGGACCTTCGGGAAATGGACAGTGAGTATTCCCACTCATGCCGCACCTCAGCTTCTATAGGCGCCACTATTACAATTCACTCATGGGTCACCACTCTTTTAGGTCTCTCCGCCTCTCATTCCGGGGTAGGTAGGAGTTCACCACTCTTTTAGGTCTCTCCGCCTCTCGTTCCAGGGTAGGTAGGAGTCCTCCCACCTTCAGGTTAGGATAGTCCTTTATGAGTCCTTGAGTGCGTACCCTCTCAAATGCCTTTTTCCTCTCCTTGCGTTTCTTTCGCTCGTACCCTCTCAAATGCCTTTTTCCTCTCCTCACATTTCTTTCGCTCGTATTCCTCCACTACTGTACTAAACCACAACACCCCTTCCTCGCTTTTATCCTCTTCCCACACTGACACCTCCTGCTCCGCCCACTCTCCCTCTACCAAACAAACTTCTGTTTTCCCTGCCTTCTCCTCAGCTTTCAAATCGCCCGCCTTTTCCTCAACCGACCCTGCTATCACCAGTTGTTCCCCTTTTTTCATCTGTTCCTCGGGTTTGAAAGTTAAGGATGGCACACTCTTCGCCTCCGCTCCTTCACAAGAGGGCTATAGGTAATAACCATCACTTTGAACAGGGCCTCAAAACAGACTGGTAGCCAGTGAAGCTGTTATAATAGGGGAGTTACATGCTCCCTGTAACCAGCACCAGTCGGCAGTATGGCTGCACACCAGTCGGCAGTATGGCTGCATCATTTTGAACCAGCTGAAGTTTCTGAACACTTTTCAAAGGTAGCCCCTTGTTGCAGTAATCCAGATGAGATGTAACTAAGGCGTGTGTCACCAAAGCCAGATAACACATCTCAAAGAAAAGATGTTGTTGATGCACCTGCTTTAACTGTGCAAATGCACTCCTGGCCCCACTTTAACCTGTGGGTCCAGCACTGAGTTCAGGAGCACACTCAAGCTGCAAACCTGACTTTTCAGGGGTAGTGTAACCTCCAGTACAGGTTGAATTTTTATCTCCTGATTTGCCTTTCGACTGGCCAGGAACGCCTCTGTCTTAGCTGGATTAAATTACTGTTTGTTAGCACCCATCCAGTCCATTACTGACAACAGACGCTGGTCTAAGCACAGAACAGACTCCTTGGAATCAGATGGGAAAGAGAGATAAGAGTTGGATGTTATCAGCATACTGATAGCATTGAACCCCAAAACGTCTCCCAGTGGATTTATTGCCTGCTTGCTTGACTATGCCATTAGTGCAATACACCGTTCTGCATTGTTTAGAAACACAGGGAACAAGACTGAGCCCTGAGGAACACCACAGACTAATGGCCAGAGTATTGAAGAGGATTCCTCCAACATCACCTTCTGCGTTTGGCCATCCAGGAAAAATCAGAACTAGTCTAAGATAATACCTCCCAGAAAGGTGCCCCAGAAGGATACCATGGTAAATGGTGTTGAAAGCAGCAGAGAGGTCCAGCAGAATCAACAAGGCCACATTTCCCCTGTCCAGTTCCTATCATTTGGTCATCCAGCAACGTGATCAAAGCCATCTCTGTTCTGTAACCAGGCCTGAAGCCAGACTGAAATGGATCTAGAGAATCTACTTCATCCGGGAACCTCTAGAGTTGGGACATTACCACATGCTCCAAAATCGTCCGCAATACAATGGGATCCAAGGAGGGCTTTTTAAACAAAAGTCTTATAACTGCCTCCTTTAGCCATGCTGGTATTCTGCTTTGCTGCAAGGAAGCAGTCACCACTCCTGTAGCTCACTCAGCCAGTCTCCCTCTGGCTGCTTTTGTCAGCCAAGAAGGTTAAGGGTCCAAGGCACATGTCATGGCTTTCATCTGTCCAAAGATCCTGTCCACAAACTCAGATTGCACCAAATGAACCAGTTCCATTATAATAGGACAAGCAGGGGTCAAAGGTACATCAACAGGACCTGCATCACCCACAGCATCTAAATCACAGAGGACCCAAGTGACTCTCTCTGCAAAATGCTGTGCCTAATCTTCACAGTGTCCTTCTCTTGTGGCCATCTGTGAGGCAGGCCACCCAAAAGAGCTCTGCTGGGCAGCTCTGTGTAGATGCAGGGGTGGCACAGAGGAATAGCTGCTTCACTGCCACCACTGCCATGGAGTAGGCTTTCTAATAAACTGTAGCCCATGGTCGATGGTTATCAGCACTGGGTTTTCCATCATCATCACTTTAGTTGCCATTTCACTCTTTCACTATCCCCTGCTCCTTAGTAAACCAAGGGGATAGTTGAGCTGCGCTTTGTGGGAGGAGATGTTTAGGAACAATTGTCTCAGTAGCCCTGGCCATTTCCCCACTCCAGAGATTGACAGGATCTCATGCCAAGACAGCAGGAAACTCCCCAATAGTCCTCAGGAAGCAATTTAGATCCACCACTCTGCTAGGATGGGCCATTTTAACTGCCCCACCCCCACCCCTGCAGAAGCTCAGAGTTCCAATAAATGTAAACCCTTCCTGGTAGTGATCTATGACGATGGAACTACAGTACCAAGACTTCCTCGATGCTCAGATCATCACCGTCCTGTTCACTACAGAAAACCAGGTCAGAAGTATATGCTCTGCAACATGAGTGGAGGCACTTTGGACAGCCCCGTGGTTATCATGGAAGATATGGAGTCCTGAGCGGTTCCTGATTAGAGATGGGCACAAACCAGTTTGTAATGGTTCATTCTTCAGATTCACAGGAGTTCCATGGGCACCCCTGTTTCTCTGCCTCCAGAGAAGGCAGTAAGGGAAAGCCTGGGAAGCTGCCTCTGAGTGGGCGCCCACTGGAGGAGGTGTAGGAGGAAATCTGGAGTGCCCCCAGAACACCTGTGCATCTGACGAACAAACCATTACAAACCGGCAAACCGCCAATTTGTGCCCATCACTATTCCTGATAAACTGGTATGTGCAAGAATGTTGACGTTGGTCAGCAGAACAGGCTGAGGTAACTGCAACATTACACCTCACACCAACTCAGGCAGGGAGACCGTTGTGCAGCAGGGTGGGTGGTACACCAACAGAATCTCTATTCTGTCCCAGGCACCCACTTTCAGGTCAATGCGCAGTCTGTGATATAAGGGTGATTATAAGGGTGATTGAATTTCGACAGACGATTGTGACCTCCATTTCACTCCCCAGGTCTGGCATGCTCCTGTACAGAGAACCCAGGTGAGCAAAGCTGAGAAAGACTAATTCCCCCAACTAGCTATCTCTCATGCAAGCCAGGTCAGCATGTTCATCCTGGATCAAATCTGGATGTTAGCTGTCTAACCTTTCACTGACCTGTCATTTAGTAACAGTACTTCCAATCCTGGGAGTCTGCCATCAAGGCTATCCAGACTATTTGATTTGGAAGACAGTCTGGGTTGAAGGGGGAGGGGGTGCAACCAGCACTCTATTTTCCACCCTCCTCTCATGATGTTGTTGTTGTCTCGCAGCTGCATAACTCCCCTTGTCCTCTGTAATTGTAAGGGCTGCTCTCTGCTCGCTTGCAATATCCCTGCTCCTTTGAAAACACATCCCTCCTCAACAAACAAAAAACCTCACAACATCAAGAAAATCAGACAGCCACAGGCCACATTCAAATAAGTCTCCTCTTCCTTGTCCCTCTCAAAACACACACAAACACCTCCTATGCACTCCACTCCCAAACAAGAGATAAAAGGCAGGAGAAGAAAGGGAGAAGAAAACAAAGCAGTTGGTTCATAATCCAGCAAGCAGAGAGGGCTTGGTCCTGCAGAGAAGCCAAGGTCTTACAGGCCAAAGTTCTGCAGAGGGAGTGGAGGGACTCAGCAACAGATGTTGCCCTGGCCCACACATTCCCCTGACCTGGGCAGATGACACAACTTGGGTTAATCAACTTCAAAATGCAAATATATGGCTAAATCCAACTGTAATAAGAACCACAATCACAGCAGACTCCTTGAACTGATGACTTTTACATTAGCATTAATTTACTTAATCAAGTACATTTCAATGGGTCTACTTTAGTTAGGTCTAGTAATTGCATTTAGCCATACCAACAGCATCTAATGTGGGTGTTCTCCTAAATTATTATATGTGTCTGATCTAAATGTGAGGTCATGTCTGCGAGGAGTTGACAGCAGGCTTTATGGTTTTGTTTGATTCTCAAGAACTAATTATGTCTGGAGTTTATATCTGTTGCCACTGGAGTTAACAAACAACATATAGTAACTCTCCATATAAAATATCCTCTTCACCAACCACACAGAGATGCTGTATTTCATGTTCAGTTTTTTAAGGTTGGCTCTTCTCATGGGAATGCCTGTTGACTTTAGAGATTCTTACATAGAATCTTCTGGGACATAGAATTCAGTCTACAGAGAATAAAAATGTGTTCCAAGTTGCTGTGGGCTAATGCCCAAGACTCAAGGAAAGGCTGTTTCTGGGAGGACTTATTAGATCTGCTGGCTGAGGATGATGGGAACTGTAGTTCAAGACATCTGGGGGGGCAGCAACAAAACCATAAAGTGCAAGCAGTGATATCTAATAAAACTATGATCCAATATAAATAAGGTCAAAGCAATACATTAAATAAAATGTACAGACCTTCTTCGCTACTGACAGTCACATCAGCCAGTTTACATATTTCAGTGCAGTCTTCCTCTGACTGATCATTAGATGATAGATAACATTTCACGCAGCTCCTGAGAAAAACAAGTCAACAGGTAAACAAACTTTTTATCATTTACAAGGCAGCAGGAACTAAAGGAACAGTAGGCTTCATCTTAAAAAAAAATCTTTCAAATCCCTCTGGCATCAATATACATTATTCCTCATTTGTTTTTACTTCAATTAAGAACAAGAGGCCACACTCCAATGGTGTTCTTCTGCTGAGTTGCACTACATTCTGGCAGATCCACCATCCCACTTGCTCCTAGAATGCTACATGGACTCTAAAAACCTGCTCCTGGGGATCTGGGTGGAGTACGTTTTTAGTATCATGGAGGGTATGCCGTTGGATCTTGGCCAGAATAAACAGACCATGCTTAAAGTGTCCTCTGATCTTTCTTTTTTTCTCTAGCTCTCAATAGATAATAGAATGGAACAGAGCTATGTTATATATGTATGGGTTCTGCATACCTGGCATCAGTTAAAACACCTTAGTCTCGCTTGTATTCTGTTCTTATTATCATATATACACAGACTGCTCTCAAACAGAATATTGTAAAAGAGTGTGGGTGGGTGTATTTAGCCTTTTCCAATCTACTTTACATATAGAAAAAGAATGTGATCATAATCCAGTGCACAATTATGCCCCAAAGGACACTGGGTCACAACTTCAGCCCTATTCAGGATTGATAAAAGTACTCCACGTGTTAGAAGGGGATCATGCTATCCCCAGTCTCTCTGTCTTTGCTGTCCTCATGTGAAGCAGCCTTTCTGAACAGCAAACCCTATTGTATCCATGGGGGTTCTACGTGTGTGTCAGAGGTTCTGGAGGTTCTGGTTTGCATGGAGAGTCTCCATGCACACAACAGGATTGCCTCTTCCAACATGTCGGTTTTGTGCACCCATGCATTCTGTAACTCCCCTCATCAAGTGTGGAGAACCTGTACTTTACTTGAATAGAATTTTCATGTTGGGTTATAGCCTATAATTTTAGTCTCCGTTCAGACTTGTACTGGGTATTCGGGAGGCCGAATGCAGAAGAAGGGAGGCCTCCTGCACCTTTAATAGTAGTGTAGAAGAAAGGATTTCTGCAGGCAGAACTTGCATGACAAGTTCCATCTCCTGAAATTCCATCTTCTACACCAAGGTGGGCAGATTTCTGGCTAGGAGGCTCAGCTTTGTCTTTGAATTTTTTTTTCTGCTTGAAATGTGAGATTTACCAGCTGGAGCAGGCACAATACTAGGAGTTCAAGAAGAATTACCGCATGGAGAATTAAAGTAAACATAAAATGACAGGGTACTTCTGAAGTTCATGTTTAGTTCAAGAACATGTGACTAGTATTGGCTTACAATTCTTTTCACATATGGTTCCACTCCTGGTTTTCATCTGACCATTCCTTTTCAGCAACCAACATTTTAGAAGGGGCAGTAAAACCATTTATGCTATTACTAGATCACTGGGATTCAGAACTCTTGCTGATCCACCTGGAGTTGTATCTTGCAAACCACCCGGAGTTGTATCAGTGGAACATGATTCACATTCTGCCTACCGCTGTTCTACACAACACCTCTCCTCTTTTATACCTTCCACCTTACTGTGTACCTAAGAGATTATTTCCCAATGCTAACACCTTGATTAGAAAAAGAGAGAAAATTTCTTTTGTTCTCCAGCAAAAGTTGCTAGAATATTTATTTAATAAAATTTATGAATTGATAACATTAAAAAACACTAAGCCTACAATACATAATAAAATATTATACCAAATAACTTTAAACCAATGATGACAAAACAACAAACCGAGGACAAAACTACGTTTCTGGAAAGCATCTCTAAACAGGTTTTCAATAAAGATGGCAAAACCTGAAGAGCCATGCTTTTCTAATCTGAGTTGGGAGGGCATTCCAGAGCCTTGATGCTGTGACACTGAGACCTCTGAACTGCAATGGAATGGGCCTCTGATATCTTAAACATTCATGACAAAGTGTCTTCTACAAGGGTGGCTCTGCTGGCTAACTATGGTACCTCAAGCACCTTAAGCAGCAGATGCTAGAGGGAGGGGGCAGCAGTGGCAGCTTCACAGTTGTCCTTCCTAAACCTCTCTGTCAGTTCTCTTTCCTGGAGGGCAAAGGGGATACCACATAAGCTGGCCTGCACCTTCTAAACTGGATGTAAGCGGTAGAGGATGCCGTCTCACTGGCAGCACTGAAGCAGAATTTTAACTGCCACTCCAGATGGCTGCTGTATACAGGATGCATAAGGCACCATCTTGTCTTTTTCTTCAGACAGCAAAAATGTCTCAGATCAGCTCTACTTGATGAGCATGGTATCTGCACAGGCAGTCAGAAGGTCTGGTAGTCTCATAGATTTTATTCTTAAAAGTTGTAAATGCATATATTATGTGTGCTAAATAGGTTTGTTGATGAAGTGGTTTAGATGTAGCATAATTTAATGCATTGCAAAATGGCTAAAACATGTAACCACAAAGAGAAACTGCTGCCCCCCCCCAACCCTTAATTTAACTAAGATTCACAGAAGCTAGTAGAAAGGCTATTAATGATTCATCTGGGATCTCCGCCAGGTCTGAGCTTCCTGGCTGAAGAAAATAATTTATGATATTAATGTGAAAAA